CCTTATAGTTTATTAAAAGCAAAAAAGCCAAAAGATTAAAAAAACCTCAGGTAGTAGTGGTGCTTGGCCCAATCTCCCATGGGTCAACCATGCTAAGACAGTCCCAATGACCTGATTAAAGAGACCATTATGCAAAAACCAGAAGTAAACAGTTCCAAATATAATGAAATGAGAATGAGTATTGATACAAACCAGTCACCAGTGTGTACTAAATGAAATACATATCTTAATATGGAGAAACACCTCGGAAAAAAGAAACATGCTTAAACTTCATATAGCCAAGGTTTTCATCTTAAAATTCAGATGAATGTATACGTACTTTACTTTTTTTCACGAACACGTGGTTCAGAGAATTTATTTATTGATCTAATTATACCTATCTACAAAAAAGAGGGCATGTATCTCCCAACAGTGAAAAGTACGTGATAGGTTATATTGCAAATTTCACCTTGACTTTCGATATAATCCATAAGCCACGGCAACAGTAGACACCGCACCAACAACGGTAACGGCTGTGAGAATTTCACGCTGCTCCCATTTTCCTATCCAGCATGAGAGTCTACCCGACCCCTTCTTTGCAGGCTTCTCAAAATTCTCATCTCTGCAACATGAGAATCCATTGGCACCTTGGCAGCAGCTTCCCACACTTTCCTTCCCTTCAGTACCACTTTCTAGAGGTTGCTTCTCGTTACTGTTAAGATTCGTTCCATTTGCAAGCTTAGGTTCTTCAACTTTTCCAGTTTCCTCAACAGGTGCACCCATTCGGCCCCTGCAGTTAGGCATGGGAAATTAGAGTCCGTGTGAAATGCAATAGTGTCAGAGACTAATAATTTCCTAACAAATGCACAAAACAGTGGTGCTGCTCGTTCGAAACTCAATTAGATGGATTAAACTAAACACTAGAAAAGGCTTAGTATTAATCCCTGATGAACTTTAAAGCTCAATTAGATGGATTAAACTAAACACTAGAAAGCTTTGGTGTTAGTCCACGATGAACAACTTATGTTTTCAAGGACGTGCAAGTAGCAAGCATAAAAACGATAACTTTCATGAAGTTTCAGCTCTTGCATTGATGGTACACTGTTTTCCCTTTTTCATACGGAAAAAGAAAAGCACTTTCTTTGCGAGTAAGGCATAATTTAAAACAATAGTGCAGAGCCATTTGTTGGCTAGATAACACTGTGTGAGGTCGAAGGCAACCGAATTATTACTATATTCGGGTTTTGAGAAAAAAATCAAATTATTTTATTCACTGCTGATGTCCAAAATCTTTAGTGCTAATAGAGAAGTCACTGACACTAAAAGTCATGTCTATCCTCAACTTTTGAACTCGTAGAGATTGATTAGAGATGCACAACGTCAAATTTTGTAATGCAAATAGATGACAAATGTCAAATAAAAGATTAGAACAAGATAGAAGTATTATCTAAAGCAATCTCTTAAAGGAAATTTAATAGCTACACTGGAACAAAGTACTGGCAATAAACTAGACTGACCAACAGCATGGACAGGCAAACCGATAGCCTTCATGCAGAAAAAAGAAAAATAAGAATAGGCATATATAAAAAGATAGACCGGAAAGGACAAGTTCTTATGGTTTGTACTTTCTATATGCTATCATATCAACTTTAAGCACAAAATAATCAGGATTCACCAAAACCTCAAGGACATCTATCCCACAGTAACAATTATTTCAACCAAATGGTTGATTCCTTTATTTTACAGAGCATACTGAACAGAGTGAAAGAAATTGCCTGAAAATTTTCATGAGATTACAGAGAGAAGGATTAAAAAGCATAAGAATCACCATGGCGAAATGCTCAAAGAACAATTGTTTTTTTATTTATTTATATCATACACATACACAGGGAGCAAAGATTAGTAAGCTTCGTAGGTACCAGTCTGGTCTGAGGATAGCGAACGTATCTCTAACAAATACAAAGAAGTCCTATGACAAGAAGTACAAAATTAAAATAAAGATAGCTGAAAGCAACTCAATGATTCATTCCAACTCCAAGTGAATGTTATGACATCACAGAGTAGGAGTGATAGCAAAACTAACTCAAAAAGATATAAAGAAGTCCTACGACAAGTTCAAAATTAAAACAAAGATAGCTGAAAGCAACTCAATGGTTCATTCCAACTCCAAGTTAATGTTATGACATCAGAGAGTAGGATTGATAGATTTCATAATATGTATACAAGTTAAAGCCTATATTTGGCCCTCATTTTCAACCACACATTCTACCATAAAATAATTTTACACGAAACAAAAACTTTTCATTAATTTTTAACCACACATTCTCCTAAAAAAAAAAAATTGGCACTATTCCAAAATAAATTTTCTTATCAAAATGAGGCTCAAACATGGGCAATATAATGTGATTATGCACCTAATAGGAAATGCTAACTATATTGAATAATATTATACAGTACAAAACCTTCCCATTCTCATCGACAAAAATAAACACCCCAACTGAGGCCCTCCATAGTGCGAATTGAACAAAAAAATGCCTAACACATTAATTTTGTGGAAGTTTTTGGAGGCGCATGCCTCAAGGATTGTGAGGTATGCATCCTTGAGGCATGCGCTCCTTAAATTTCCAAACTCATTTACTTTGCTCTTGGTGTGGGCCCAAAAACATTAAGAATTCTGATAGACCCACTTTTTATTTTAATAATTTCTTGACATTTTCTTGGTGTATGGCAAGGCTTATGCCTTCTCTCATAAAGGAAATATGCCCCAGTACCCAATGACACCTTTTAAACACTGCCTGTTCTATTTGTCAAAATTAGAACCACCAAATGATTACAAATTATCCATCAAAATGAAAAATCAGTGGAAATTTTTAGGCATTCCCAAGTGCACAAATGATACAAACCAGGCCTTAATTGTGTGAGCAAACAAAGCGCATTTTGCAACAATTGTAATCAGATATATAGAGACACTATTGCGTACTTGAGATACAAAAAAATATTGTAATAGTGGACACCTGTAAAATGTAACATAGATTGGAATCTGCACATGGTAAGGAGCACAGGAAAGAGCATGAATATTACACAGACCTCCAGATTCGTTCAATGATCTCTCCCTTCTCAATCTGTTGATCAATCAATTCAGACACATCATTGGGGGTGACATAACCATACCTACATAGAAAATAAAAACCAATTATTTGCCTTTGTAACATATTTTTTTTTTTTTTATGTAGTTACACTCTTTTACCAACAAAAGATATGTGTAGTACTATTTACATATTTTTACAGAAGGGTAGCAAATCTGGAACTGAACAATAAAAAATAAATAAATCTGCAACTGATCTTGTGATCAATATTCAAGAATCATGGATACAAACAATTGAGATCTTGTTCCTTACCAATTGCCAGAAATTTTTCCTTCAGCATCAGCACTGAAAATTATCACATTCCCTGCATACTTGTGGCCGCCAATATGCGAACAAGCAGTAACAACCACCTGATTCTGTAAACCCTTTGATTCAATATCCTCTTTGAATTTCTCCATCAGAACAGGTCCACAGACACCACACCGCCTGTCTCGATTATTATGAGCACAGATAAACACATAGGTACCAGTCAAAGCCTCCTGAACTCCTGATGCCCAGGGCTTTCCATTCACTAGCACATCCTCAATAAAACCATCCACATCTGAGTCTTTCAAGCCCCTGAAAGAATAAAATATGAAAAACAAGTCAACACTAAGTTACCGTAATCAATAGAATGGCTAAGCCATATATCAATGCAATCATGTCCACACCACCATTACTATGCAAGAAACACTAGTAAAAGTCTTCTTGTAATAGTACAACTAGTGTTTCATGGCTTAAAACAGAGAAGTAGCAAAAGTACCCAATCAATCCATGATATGCACAAAGAATTAGGTGGAGTGAAGGTAAATTAAACTGGAGATGACAAATCCATGCAGCAATATATTTATCCTTTTCAAGATGATTAACATTCGTCTTCAAAACCAAGCCTCTAATCTCCATTTCCAACCTACTTCCAGTCAAAACACACAAGAAACCATTAAATGACGGCCTCTTCGTTGATCGCCGTCACTCTAAAACCTTGATATCCTTTCAACTTCAAAAGTAACAAACTAATTTCCAGTGCGGTGAATTTTTTTCTCTCTGTCTACCTCACTGCATTTTGCGAGACAATACAGCAGCTTTCGACTCACCTGAGGATACAGACTCGATGGTTTAACGTGTTAAGTGGCGTTGAAACTTAGTCATAACTCATTCACTCCATCCAAGGTAAGAGATTCTAGACAGAAGGTAATTTTTATTTAGCCTATGTTTGGTCCCCATTTTTTCAAAACTTATTTTCAACCACATATTCTCTTATAAAATAATTTTACACTTTAATCAAAAACTTTTCATTACTTTTTAATCATGCATTCTCCAACAAAACACTATTCTAAAATGCATTTTGGCAAAAAAATGTGGCTCAAACAAGGGCTTAAATTGAGTCCAAATCTAGACTGATGAAGCAAGGATGAATAAATATAAATCGAGCTACAGGCATCAATTATTCCATAATCAAATAATTGACAACTTTAATTTACTGCACTGGGAAAAAAAAAGAGAGAGAGCAATGAAGTTTAAAACGGACTGTATTTGGAAAATTAAAAAAAGCAAGGAAAAAAGAATGTACAGTATAGAAGGATATTTGGTTTTTGAGTAAGATTGAGTATCCAACAACTTGTGTATATAAGCATATGATGGATTTTTCCCCTACAATTAAAAATCTGCAGCAACAACTCAAGCAAAACCTTCAGTAATGTTTAATTTTCGCCTGCATTGAGTCGGACTTCAACTAAAGTAGAAAAATCCCATAGGAATTTTGGAGAAGTGATGGTAAAACTAGATAATCAGAGATCTCCAATTGATTCATAGAGACAGAACATGCCCAAAAAACCTAGAAAACATGTGCCTAAGTCAAACTCATAGTCAGAATTCAATTCTGATTTCTTACATAAAAGCAAGCAGCTAATATCTGATTAAAAATTCTACTCATCCCTCAGAAAATTAAAAATCTAAAAATTGCCGGGAAAATATACTACCTGTATACGATCATATCAGGGAAAACCAAAACATCTCCATCCGACAACGCTAGTTCATCAACTCCCTCGCATATGGTCAGCCGAGTCTACCATACAAGATCACTCGTCAACATTCAAACATATCAAAATCAACTGCACAAGCCCAACAAAAGAAAGGGGGAATGCAACTCTACATGCAAAATCCCATCATATCAAATAATTATAATAGACACACCTAACAGTAACTTGTATTCAGATGAATACTTCAAAAAACTTTATACTTATACTAGCTCGCATACATGAACAATACTTTTAAAATCAATAACTTCTAGTTGACTCTCAGTCTAAGAGCCCATTTGATTCCCATTTTTCTAAGAATGACAATGAAAAATGTAGTCGTTACGGATCATACAAGAGATAGAAAGTCATATTTTTCATTTTCGTGGCCAAAGAGAATCAAACGGGGCCTAATTAAAAACCTTAGTATTAATATCCCTTTTTTCAAGCTTTAAAAGCGGAGGATAGGAGTTTGGAAAGCAGATCGGAGTCAGAATCAACTGAAGCGAGAAGAAGTCCACCAGAGAAGTAACTCGTCGATAATTATGCTATAACTATACTAATAATAATGAACACACAAGTCCGTATCTACTAATCATAATGAACACACACAATTCTGTTAAGTACTTTATTCATTTAAGCTTTTACCAGCATTAAGTATAAAATCCAGCTAAATTCGAAGCGAAAACTTCTGATTGATAATAAATCTCGGTCTAATTAAAAACCTTAACACTGATATCGTTTTTGCGAGCTTTAAGACCGGAGGAGAGGAGCTTGGGAAGCGGATCGGAGTCAGAATCCTCAACGCGGGAAGGCCACGATTCGTGAGACTTGTAGCAAAGGAACAAGTGGCGATCGTATGGGTCAACGGTGCCAACGAGGTTGCTTTGGTACATCTCCGGCCGCTCAAATCCGAACTTTGTGCTTTCATCGTCGGCGACGGTGTAGAAGCTCTCCGATTCTCCTGCCATTATGTATTGTAGGGTCCAATGAGAAAAATTAGAGAAATGCGGGAATTTTGAGATATGTTAAGAAATTTTATTTGGGCAGTGGCGTCATATATAACAATAACCTGTGATTGAGAGATAACGGGTAGCGTGCGTAATGCGCATTGCCTCGGGAGGCACACAGGCAACAGTGGCGTGATCCTGCCCCTTTTTCTTGAGTGATAACTTATTTTTACTTAATTTACCTTTAAGTAGAAATTATTTCTCAAATGTATCTTGTATTATTTTGGAGGTATGGACTGGACTTTCTCTTTTCTTAGTTGAAGTTCAAATCTTGATGTCAATTTTATAAATGGTAACTATATTAATTTTCACTTGCAGTATTACATTTTAGTTACATTTAATTCACTGACGGATCTAGCTTTTGACATGAACACGGGCTAATACAGCAAAAAAAAAAAATTTACTAATTTTTTTTAAAGGGAATTTGGGGCAGACGGACGGGCTGTAGCACTGACCTGACCGTCCCTAAATCCGCCCCTGCATTTAAAAGTTCTCAATATTTGCTTATTATAGTATCGACATTCTTAACTTTTTTCATCAAATTTTAATTTCAATATTTTATTAATTAGCACATCTTGCTCTTAATAAAGGTTTCTCTCAAATATTTTATTTCCATACTTTGAAATGGGAAAACCTTATTTTGTCGAATTTTTGTACTTATTGTTATTTTAAAAATATAATGAGTAAATAAGTCATTTCAGACCATCTGAACCGACTTTTTTTTTCCGAGGAAATCATCATTAGAGAAAACATGTTTGTTTATGAAATGTTGAGTGTAAGGAGTTGAAAAAGTTGAAGTAAGTCCTTATTTGAGCCTCATTCTTTCAAAATTAACTTTTTCAAAATTCATTTTCAATCGCATATTTTTTAATAAAATAATATTATATGCAAATTCAAAACATTTTCTTAATTTTTTATCATACATTCTCCATCAATCACTATTTAAATGCATTGTTTTCCTTAAAATGAGACTCAAACAAGGGCTAATAACTTCATCCCTATATTTTTTAAAGTTTTTCTAAAGAAGCAAGAAAGCCTTATCACCAAAAATGCTTTTTATAAATAAATATCTAAAAAGCGGAATCCATTGTACATAACATATTAGTGGCCTGTTTGGGAGCGATTTTTCACAAAAAAATTAATTTTTTGACCGTTATTTCACTATTTCAGCCGTCATATTTGACTTTTTCTCTCACAGGTGGACCTCATTTTTCTTCTAACGATCAAAAAATCAATTCTAAAAATCACTTCCAAACAGACATTAGATGTTTCTATAATATGCTCTTATTTGATAAGGATTAAATTTTAAAATTTTAATTTAAGTCGAAGTTAACATTTAATTCTAATCACATCTTTCATATGTTCCGAAATTTTTCAACCACATATTTCATCAAATTTTATCAAAATCTACTAAAATTATGATTTTAATCTAATCTCCATCAAATAGGGCTATATAAGAAGATAATTTGGGTAGTCCTTATAATCAATGTTGGTGTTGTTTTCTTTAACAAAAGGAATTGCTACTGCTTTACATTCAAAAAAAATAATAATAAAAATCATTAGCTGTACTTATTTGTCAATTATGTATAAATTGAAAATAATTATTAAAATTGAGTTTAAATTTAATTAAAGTCGTAACTGAAATAATTCAATAGGTTTAACATTTTTTTTTTAACCATAAACTGAATCGAATTTGATCGATTCAAATGAATTATTTTTTCATGTATTTATTGCTTTAATAATACAGAATTATTGCTTGAGCCCTGATATTTTGTTATTTTTAACTTGCATAATATTATATTCCATTTGATTCCTCCACCAACTATCAGTTTTCGTGTACGTTTCAATTTGGATACCATTTCATGTGTCCTACAAGAAATTTACAAAAACAGCACTAAATTAGGGCATAAATCAATGAGATACACTACAGGAACTGGCTCATTAACAGAGTTTTATACATATACTAGATATCTAAATGATGACCAAACATTCAAACAACAATTAATGCATATTTAATCGAAAACACAAGAATTAACTAAAAAATAAAGAGTCTTGAATTAAAAACTATAAATCAAAGGTTTCATCTATCCAATACATAAAAGATTTAGCCTAACATTGTCATACAAAAATTACACAAAAGAAAGGGAAACATCACCCTAGACTAAGAAGGATGAGAAAAACGTGAAAGCTTCAGTTCCTCGCTTGAAACTCAACCCCAAATGATGCAATTTTGTTCATTGAATGTAAAAAAAAAAAAATCTACTTTCTTGCTCTTCTAGGTTGAAAACTAGGCTACCTTTGTTTTGGACAGCCTCTTGACATATAGAATGCTAAAAATTCCAATCCAAATATACCAAACTAAGAAAAGGAAACAAATATTTTTTTTCCGTTTACCTTGGGACGTGCGCCTAGACTTAGTTAGGGTTCAAGCCTCAGTGAATTTGGTAGCTTCAGTTGGTCTTATAAAAAGAGGAGGTACGAGCCTTATTTGCAGGCCTAGCTGCGCGCCTCCTCTTATCCAAGCAGTCATTAGTACTTTTGTTATGACTTTCTCTCTCGATATTCGATTGAGTCAATCCAAAGTGTGATGAAAAGATAACTCAAAGGGCTACAATTTATTTAAAATATCATTTTTCAATTTGAACATTTTCTATACCAAAAATGAGTCTCGATTTAATGCTGAAAATCTAAAACATGATTTTTCAGTTGGAAATTGATGTGTGATAATACTTTGAATTTATTTCCTTCCTTTGACTTGTTCCTCATCCAATTGATCCTTAGCATTCTCGAATCTTCATCGTGAGATCCAACACAACTTTTGAGTGTTTGCACTTTAATCCCTAATCTTTGAGTCTCTTACAATTGAGATTTTTTAACCATTTTTCTCCAATTCCACAATTTATGTCGGTTTGTACCTAATAAGCATGATACACAGACTTAAGCAATGATTTATCAAAATAAACGATAGATATTCTGACTTAAAGGCACAAATAAGTGTATATAATACACTTGTCACACGGGTTAAGCAAAATGGTCATAATATTTTTCTTTCTTGGTGATCTCGAGAGCCAAAGACATAGGCAACGACTTGGACAAGGGAACTCATTGGAGTCGTAGCTAAATGAGATCCAAGATGTTTTCAAAGTTTCTACCAAATATGATACGTTATTCAAAATGAAATATTTTAATATTCGTCTCATCATATTCTGATTGGATCTCTAAATGAAGTCCATGCAAACCCCAAATTTAGCCTACATTGGGCAACTCATGCCTCCATAGTTCGACTTACTTTTACGTCTCTAAACATAAACCTATTGGAACAACCATCACACCTAAAATACAAGTAAAAGACAACTTTTCAAGCAAATGCTAACTCAAACATTTCAATCAAATGCCGACCTTCGGTTTCTACTAAGACTTCATAAAAGGATTTGCAAGCAAGGGATTCAACCAAAACAACTTATTTTTCATTTCTTTTCTCAATAACTGTTCTACATTATCATTTTCACATTTTCTCTACAGTATAATCTAAAAGACAATTAAAATATCAACGGGGCTAAGTATAGGAGAGTTACAGCCTTGCTCTATACAAAAAGTTATAAGAAACACAAATTGTTTCACTACTCTTAATTAATTATGTTATCCTAAAGTTTTCTTCTATTATGTTTGTTTAATAAACTTAGTTAAAGTTTTATCAATTGATGCAATTTGATTTGTGGCCAATGCAATAGTTCGATATCTAACCTCAGAAAGAAGCCCTTAAGGGTTCAAAACTACAAGGACCTTTTTGAAAATATTAAAAAAAATTGGACAAAATATTGAATTTTCAAATTTATTGTGGGGACAGGTAACCCCACTGCACCCAGTGTAAATCCTTCCCTGTTTGTACACAACTACAGAACATATGATCATGTCTTTCCACACACAATTGTTACCGTCCCAAGGTTTTTTTTTTTCTTTCTAAAACATGCTTAAAATAACAAACTTTTGCAACTGAAGAGCTTGTACGAGATCATCAATTTAGGAAGTCTTGTGTCCTGAGGTTTATGCCTATATCATAGTAAGGGCAATGACGAAAATTACACCAAGAAAAGCCAAGAACGTCCAAGGACAGCTAAAACATGGATTAAAAAGGAAAAAAACAAAATTGAACTTGAATCTTATTCAATGTTTATTTTTTTTATTAATTTGTTCTTTCATTTGTTTTGAACATGGATTAAAAAGGAAAAAATTCGAATCTGAACCTTGTTCAATGTTAATTTATTATATTTTGTGTAACGATCCGAATTTTTTTGACATCATATTACATGTAAAAATATCTCAATAAAATGATGTAAATTATATTAAGAAATTTGTCACGCAAAAATAATAAATATTAATGAAATAATTGAAACTTTTTAAAGAAAAACGAGTTATGTGTCTCTTTTTGAGAAGCTCGTTAAATTATTTTCAATGTTCAAACGATTTTTGTTTGGACCATTTAATATGTCTACGATATAATTCTCAAAACGAGCTTCAATATGGCGTAGACGATTTATGAATTCAGTTAACATACGATCGCAAGCAAATGTTTAAAGTTAGCACGTTATCGAAATTCTCGAAATACTAGTTTGTAATGACTTATTTGACATGTTGTAACTTTTGCTACGATTGACTGTTAGGCGCCCCATTAACAATGCGAGGAACTAGATCGTGAGCATTTCAAAATGACATTAAGAATGCAATATTTCGATTTCGTTTGACATTCCATAATAACCTTGAAAATTGAGACAAAAATAACAAAAAATAAAAACATCTATGTATAAAGGATGGGTGATAAAGGCGGGGCAGTTGTTGTGTGGGTAAAAAGGAGATGGTTTGATAAAAAATTTAAAGGGTGGGGCGGCTGTAGGGGGAAAACAAAAAGTTGAAAGATAACCAAAGAACCTACTATGTGGCACATTATTCTCCTACCCACCATGGGCAGGAGAACAATCTCGTTGATATCTAGCGCAGCCAATTTTAAAAAGTGAGAGCATGTTTGGTGGAAAAGAAGTTGCTTATTTATAAGGCGAGGCCTAAAAATATGGGCACAAAAATCTACCCAAGTGTGAAAATTTCCCAAAATGGTTCAATGTGAAAATTGTTACGAATTAAATTATAAGAAAGTTTTAAAATTGAAAAATTGATTCCCTTTGATTGTACAAGAATATGTAAAGCTGAGCATGTTTGGAAGCATGAGAGATCGTTCTTTTACTGATACCATTGTTCGATAATTTAATTTAAGCGTTCAATTAAAATTTATTTATTTTTTCTAAATTTATGTATAACCTAATAGACTCCATCTAACGTGACATTGATGTGAAAGTAGATAAAACCGAAAGAATTAATGAATATAGCGAAGTAAATAGATATCATATATATTCTAAAATGTGCTGAAAATAACAAACTTTTGCAACTAAATAGCTTGTACAGGGATCATTGATTTAGGAAGTCTCGTGTCCCGAGGTTTAGCGTGGAGAAACAGTAAAATATGTATGTATCATAGTAAGAGCTGTTAGATATTTTTCATCATTTCGCATGTGTTTAATTTTTTGTTTTGCGAATGATTTGTCGCCCGGATTAGTGTTTGCCACTGCGCAACGGGGTTCGACCTGCCCGGTCAGGTCACGGGGGGTCGAGGGGGCAGCGCCCCCCGTGGAGGCTGGGGGGCAACGCCCCCGAAAGAGAATTTTATTTTCAAAAGTTTTTGAATAGGTGCATCTGTTCATGTTTTAACAGTCACTTCCAAGGGATACACCTATTCAAACAGTTGCCTCAATGTCTATAAATTCTGGGTGAATTCTCATTTGCAAACACATTAAACAATTTATTCTTCCTTCTTTCTCTTGGCATCAATCAGTTATTTTCGAGTGTCTTCTTGGTTTGATCAAATAGTCACAATTTGAATCAAACGCCTCCATTGTATCCTGGGAGAGATTTTTTATCATACCCCAGTTGTGACTTTGTTGAATAGGGGAGAAACATCTCTTAAAAGATAACGTTTTTTCGTGCCTTGGAGTTCATTAACGTATTCAGATTTCCCTACAATATTATCAACAAGAGCGATGACAAAAATTACACCTAGAAAAGCCAAGAAAGCCCAAGGACTGCTAAAATGGTCATGTATCCATTTAGCCATCCAGACTTGTGCTCTACTCTCGCAATGATTTTGAATCTGCCTCTTAACATCTGCATATGCAAAAGGATCAAATACCAAACCATTAGCTATCTCGTTAAAGGGTCCCGCCAATACTTCGTCACTGCCTAAATTGTTGACAAGAATTCTTCTTTTCCTGAGCTCTTTTAACATCATCGGCATGATCAATGAATGAATCCATTAGGCAAATGTATGACATAATGTGATAATCAGAAGGGCCATGGGGACACATTTCGTAAGCCGCCAAGTTTAACAGCAAATCTTGTGTTGAATCATCAACCACGATTCGAGGATATGTAAGAGTACTAGAAATAAGGTGAGATTTGAACTTTACATCAGTAACATGGTTAGTTTGACTTGGTCTGAAATGAATTCCTGCTGCTTTGAGTTCCGTTACTGAACGATACGAATGCCATTCAAAATTCTCATTGTTTTTGTCTTCCGGAGATGACCCAATGAGCTTATTTATGTCTTCAGGAGATGACCCGATAAGCTGTTCCCGATCTGGACTTGGGGGGCATTTGACAAGATTCTTCTTGTTTTTGCCTTCAGGAGATAAGCCGATGAGCTGTTCTCGATCTGGATTTAGGGGGCATTTGACAGGTTTCTTCTTGTTTTTGTCTTCAGGAAATGACCCGATGTCTTTAGGATGTCCAAGGCGTTTTGACAGATTTCTTCTCGTTTTTGTCTTGAGGAGATGACCGGATGAGCTTGTTTTTGTCTTCAGGAGATGACCCGATGACTGTTCCCGATCAAGATTTAGGGGGCATTTATTTTTGTCTTCAGGAGATGACCCGATGAGCTGCTCCCGAAATAGATGTAGAAGGTGAAGAGGGGCTGGAGAGCGTGCATCCATAGCTAATTTCCAAATCTCCTTTTTCTGAACACCGCGTCCCATCATTTGTGGAAGAAATTTTTTGACAGCATTGTTGCATGAATTTTCCTGAGGTGGCATAATGGCTTTATGATCAAGGAAATTCTGAAGCAACTCTCTCTCCCATTCTCGTTTTTCACTTTTGAACAATAATTTCATCATAACTTTTAGTGCTAGTAGAGGAATTTGATTCTCTAGCAACAACAAGTCCCTCCGCACAAAACCAAGGTAGCAAATCCAGCCATGTAGTGGATCTGCTTCTTTTTGTTTTATATTCGTACGTTTAGTTATAAGAAAGATGTATATAATAAAATAAAGCACGAAGCAAGCATCAATAAACATCATTTTGTTGAACAATTCATCGTCATACCTTTCAGTCGAGTCTTTCTCATAGCATTCGCGGGCAATCTTACCTATCTTTGCCACCTCTTTATGTAACTGTTCGATAGATACTTGATCTGTAAAGAAACGAATGAATTTCTGCGCGATTGGAATTTTTAGCTGCTCGAACGCTTCGAGCCCTGGCTTTCCATGATGATAAGGGCCTATCGAAACTACGAGAGGATCATAACAATTTTTGTTGGATTGTTTCTCCTGCAGCAACGATGGAATCCTTTGTATTCGGGGCTTGTCCGTCGTGTCATCAACATAGTTCTCTATAGAAATCAACCAATCATCTGCAGTAGCATTGTTGGTTGGTGCTTGTTTATATTCTTGTAATAGTTTTGAACAAATTCGAGTGAGTTCATCACATTCTGGGGCTTCAAAGCGATATTTATGTTTCCCTCGAATTTTAGAAAACATTTCTTTTATGGGTCGGAGCGGATCTATGTACAATTCTGATCTACGAAGTACCATTCGAGGTTCGGGAAGTATTTCGATGGGTCCATCTGTTGTCATCCCCTGGATGTGAGCATGAAGTTGCTTAGGTATAATTATTAGCAGCTTGTTTGATAAAATATCAACTTTTCTATTAGACAAATTTCAATTTTGAAAATATATTTCACGGGACTCACAATTTTTTTCTTTTCGATCATACATTTTATAAAGACCCAAGCTTAGAAATGCGATTTTTTTTATTTTTATTTTTTTTTATGATCACTTAACATCTGTGTTCAAACCGTTATACCATCCATTTTGGGGAGATCATCTACTCTCTTATTCCTTATGAATTTTCATCTTGCCTTCTATTAATTGAATCTAAGACCTCTGTCTTATAAGATATTTAAGTTAAGTCCTAGTATCAACTTTCAACGATTTGGGCTAGATTTTCTGTCACATCTCTTAGACCTCATGATTAAGTCTCTCATAAGTTAGAGTTATTGAGTTAAAATGTTAAAGGTGAAAGTTGTTAGAGGTTAAAAGACAGATACTTCTTCAAAGTGAATAGCATGTAACGAGTTAACAATTTGGACATAGAAATCTGAATTGCTACATATTTCATCAACTTTTATTAAAAAAAATTTAAAAACAACTTTTTAGTTGGAATTTAGGTCAACTGTCGTGTGTGTTAAGGAAAAAAAAATTGAATAGATATTTTCCTCACTAATGATTTAAATTCGTAAATGAGTTGGTCGACGCATGATATTACACACATGTACACGGGCATAGATTGGGGGCGAGGGGTGTTCAGGCCAGGCATTCCCTCAAGTCCATTTAATTTTGAAGGCAAAAAAAAAAAAAACAAAAGAAAGGGTAAAGTATTTATTTTATATATATGTAGAAATTTTTTTTATCTCTCCTGAATTCGTCCCTGCTTGTACGATAAAGTGGTACATTTTTTTAAGATTTCGATGAATGAACTTGCAATGCCGTCACCCCAATTATCATTGGGCCATAAACATAGGATAGTGTAAGTTGAAAACAACAATCAAAATTGAAAGCAAAATGGCGTTTGTACCTCAGTTTTGCTTCATTTAGTCGGTCTACTTTCTAAATTCGTCAAAACACAATTTTATATTATCAAAATTGAAAGGAAAATAAAGTTTGGACAAAGGACCTCATTTTCCTTAATGAAACCTGGAATTTGTCTTCAAAAATTGTAAAATCAAAATGTAAAACGATGAAAGTTCAAAGCAATTAATGCTTGAACCTCATTTTCCCTAATTAAGTATGCAAACTAACATTTTCTCACTATCATGTTAAACTTTCCGAGATAAAAAAAAATACATTTTACTACTGATCTTACACAAAATATGTGAGAGAATAAATGCATAAGATAAACATTTGAAAACTCAACATTTCATTATTCTTGATCTCACCTCCATTTCTAAACGTTTCTGTTATCGTACTTCATAAATGCGGGTTTTCGCGAATTTCTTGCTTTCCTTCCTGCAAGAAATCTAAGATTTAAAAAATAGCATTATTATCTAAGGCACACTTGTTAAGATAGAAGGTTATTCTTCTTAAATTTCCATAATAATTATGAAATTTAGCAAACAAAAATCACCATAACCAAAGACCAATAAAAGAACCTTAGCAAAAGAACAATAAAAAAATTGAAATATAATAATAAAAGACCGAGTAGACAAATTGTACCAACTAGTAAAGTCAAGCCTCTTTCTCCCGTAGGTTGAACCACTGCTGAACACGTTAAGAGCAATGTGAGTCATAAGGGGTAAAAAAAAAGTTGAAAATATTTATAGGCCTCCGGCATCCAAGGCTATAAGGCGTGAAAGCTTACCCGAACCTGCCCAATCATTGACCACTTAAAGCCACATCTTAGGGATCGTTTGGGAGCTCATACTCAACTTAAGTACTTAAGTTGATTGAGTCTCTGTTTCCTTTTTAATCATCAAATCATTTAATACATAGTACTCATACACTGATATGTATAGCAAAAAAATAATTATTGAAAATAATAAATAATTTTTTAATTTATTGTGAATGTACATGTAGTTTTTCCAATAATGTGAAAACATCCTCTCCGAAACAAGCCCTAATACTCCCTCAAATCGATCATTGTACATTACACTGCGATTGCTGTACAATAACTATTACTGTGGGCAACCAATAAGGGATAAGCACAGGTGTTGTTTCCTCAATGGCCAGACAGAGCGAGCATAATTTAAAAATCTTGTCATTGTCTTATATGGTAGGAGGGAATCTACAGTTAAGAAATTGGTAATGATGATCCAAGGGAGGATATTAAGGCACTAATGGTCCATTTGATTGTAAAGATGAAATTTGGGTGTAAAGAAAACGAATTTTAGATAATTAAATTGCCTAGAAATTATTTTATTGAAAATTATCAATTATTGTGTTTGATTGATATAATTTTTTATGTAGAAAATGTTGAAATAAAAGTATTTTTTTTGTGTTCATTTGACTTTATTTTACATGAAAATTGATAATTAAATGGACAGAATTTACTATTATTGGGATAGAATTTGTTTCCATTGCACAAAAAAAGGCAAGAAAATCATCTATGTTTTGTTGTTTGTTCAGCTTTATTTTACATAAAATTGTTAATTAAAGAAAAATAATTTTATTATTATTATTATTATTTTTACAATTAGGGATAGAATTTGTTTCTATTGCAAAAACAAAAAAACAAAAAATAAAAATAAATAAAAATAAAATAAAAATTTGGCAATATAGCCTAAAAAACCAATTCCTAGCAATTACCTAAAAAAAAATATGCTATCAAACAGTCAAAAAGTAAAAGTTGAAATTTGAATTCCATTTTCCATGGAAAATAATGATCTCTCAAGCATACCCTAACTGATTTGTTTACTAATAAAAAGTGATTTATTTAAGAATAATGCTAATGGTACACCATGGTATCCAACATGGTGTACAAAACGGACACACGACACTTCGGTATTGGCCGAGATACCGGTGGGGCCAGGCGAGGTAGGCATCTCGGCCAATGTTGAGGTGCCGTGTGTCTATTTTGGACACCATGTTGGATATCATGGTGTACCAAAAGCATAACCCTTTATTTCAATGACAAAAACTTATTGATAAGACATTCAAAGTGATAGAAGGCAATAAATTTCAACTCTAGATAAACGTGATCTTCATCGATTGATCGAGAACAATCAAACCAAGTTATAATAATATTTCAGTCGTGATCAAATTAAAGTATTTTGTCTCGATTAATTGACTTTAAGGGACACTCCAAAAAAAAATCCTTAAGAATATCTATTAATAGGACAAAAGTTCAAGACCAAGTATCGCTACTGGATTTTTAGCTTCATATTTTCAAGGCAGTGTTTTTATCGGTGACTAATCTTTCAATTATTCCGTTAAATACAGAGTTCAGTGTTTTTAATTTTAATTTTGTATCTTTCAATATTATTTTGTAATTGTGAAGGATTCTTACAGTTGTGATCGGTTAATGAATAGTTGCCAAACATTGGCTTACAGTATTATCACTTTGTTGTACTTTTTCAACAGTTCAATTACCAAAAGTGTGGG